AAAAAGCAGCTTTCGCAGACAACTAGTAAGGAAATCCAGACCTTTTCACTTTAAGATTTCAGTGAAAGAAAAAGTCAAGCAGATGGTGGATTTTTAGTTTCTGTAGTAAATAATCACTTCTAAAATGAAAGAAAATTCTTCTTTATGATAAGGCAAGACAGAAAAGCAAACATTTGCTTAAATCTCAGATAGCTTTAAAGTGTTTTATCAGAGACTCTTTCAGGTACATAAATGGGTACCCAGAAGTTAGAAAATAAATGGTTAAATATTATTTAAGAAAGTATTTTCACTCACTGTCTCATTTATAAAATGATCATGCATTAAAGTTTTGATTTAAAAAAGGCAACCAATAGCTATATAAGAAATTATTTTAAAGTAAACAACTATGATTATTCAATAATGTTATATTATGACCTGCCGGGATTTAGTATAATACATTTTGACTGGACATGGTCCTAAATTAGATAAGGGCAAGTTGGTATTAGGTAAAAGCAAGAACTGTAATATAACAAATAGTAGTCATAAAGATTCCATCTGGGAATTCAGAGCGATAAAAACTAAGAAACATAACAAACCAAAAACCAAGAGAGAAGAGTCAGATTTAAACTCTCAGTAGATTAAACTCAAGAAATGATTTTCCATATGCCCATCAAATATTTAAAAAAACCAGTGTAGTAGCTTATAGCAGACTTCTGAAGGGCTTAAGACTTATTTTACTATGACCTGCTTTGCTGTCATTCCGCCCTGCCCCCCCAATAACTTCTTCAGAAACTTAGGCCATGCCGAGGAGTAGTGTGTCCATAGATTCAGGAAGCAAAATGACTTTCTTTGCTTAAAGACTGGAAATTCTAATTCATCCCATCTCCTCCCTTACAGACAAGACCACCCCCTGGACATGGCGCCAGAGACCCAGATGCCAGGCCCAGTGTGTCTCATTGAGAACACTAAAGGGCAACTGGTGGTTAATCCAGAAGCTCTGAAGATCTTGTCTGCCATTACGCAGCCTCTTGTCGTGGTGGCTATTGTGGGTCTCTGCCGCACAGGCAAATCCTACCTGATGAACCAATTGGCTGGGAAGAACAAGGGTGAGTGGTAGTAGCAAAACTCTGCTGAGTCCTTTCTCTTCAACCACATTCACAATCATGATGGTTAAGGCATCACTGAAATAACTTCTGTATACATAATTATAAACTATTAAAATGTTAATAGCATAATATTCTTGTGAAAAAATATCATCTAACCTATGGTACTTGATATTCTTATTTTCTCATTTCTCTTTTGTAATTTAGATCAATACTGTTTATACTTTCTTCCATCTCCTCATCTTGCTTTCCTTAAATTGTAGCTCAATTGCCAAGAAAGTCTCCAGTTTCCAAATCCCCTGCTCTATTACATCCTCTCCACTGCTCCTCTCCCCAACCCCTTGTAGGCTTCTTTCTCTGTTGGATCCACAGTGCAATCTCACACCAAGGGAATCTGGATGTGGTGTGTGCCTCATTCCAAGAAGCCAGACCACACCCTGGTTCTGCTTGACACTGAGGGACTCGGAGATGTAGAGAAGGTAAGGAATAAGGATTTCTTTTTGATTAACCTCCCATCTCTGAACATTCTTTACACAGAGGATTTTTCTTTTCCTTTCTTTTTTCTTTTTTTTGTACTTCCACTTGACCAAAGTACATCATTTTTCCCCCTTTCTATTTTTAATAGTCCAAGTTTGGAAACCTGAAGTGAAAATATACATATATTTCTAAGCCCAAATCATGATGGGGAGATTATACTAATGTGGAACTAGGTGGTTAACAGAAATGCAGAAAGATTGTGCAGATAAAATCACTGTTGCAAGTCTGATCCTGCAGAGAATGATGATTAACACTGGGGTATGAGTCAAAGCAAAGGAACTTTAGTTCAAATCAGGGCTTTGGCACTCGTAGCTCTCTGATTTTGAAAAACAAGAGTAAGTCTCTTCAAATCTTTTATTTCCCCTTTAGTCCTATCATGGATAATCTTATCATTTAAATAATAGGTACATGAGTTTTTACAACCTCTATGCTGGTGTTTAGCAACCAGCCCACTAGGGGGAAAAAGCCTTGATTTGTAGCTCTTGCCAATTTTCTAAATGCTCCCGTCTTAGCTGATTCCAAGCTCCCAAAGCGAAGTCGCTAAACTCCGGGTTTGGGATAGATGTACACGATCAGCTCCTATGGGCTGGTGTGAACTAACTCTAGTACACAGCTGGATCTTTCCCTTGAACATCCTTTGTTTTTCAGATTTTGTTTTGCTTTTGATTTACCACAAATTCAAATAGTCAACCTCAATTTGTGCTTTTAGCTTCCTCATTTCTAACACGGAGGTAATTATAAATTTATCTCAACAGTGTTGTTTTGAGTATTAGATAAGATCAGTAATATAAACTACCCTGTATACAATAACTATTCAATAAAATAGATATATGTGTTATGTATATAGGCCAACTTCGTTTTACACAATTAAAAATTTTGGTTTTCAGCACTCTGGTTACCCCACTAACTTTGCAAATGCCTAACTAGTTGTAAGAGGGACTGATGAGTTAACAGTATATGGTTCCATATAAAATTATCAACACTAATGACAAAACTATTCAAATTTATATGTTTCTCATAATCAGTTTTGTTTGTCTCATTTAACGTTGTGGGTCAGGGGCTTATTTTTAATGATTGCTTATCTATGAATGCCATGAGACATGACTTAAATTTGTTTTGACTTCTAGGATGACAAGAACAACGATACCCAGATCTTTGCACTGGCAATACTATTGAGTAGTACCTTTGTGTACAATACCATGAACAAAATTGACCAGAGGGCTATTGACCTGTTGTAGTATCCTTTTATGGTCCAGGATGGCACCAAAGCCAGAGAGAACGCCTTTGTTCCCTAGCTGTGTTTATGAGTCCTTGTGAAACAAACACAAAAATAAAAACATGATAAACATTTAATGTACAGGAAAAAGAGTCCTCATATTTACGGATGAAATGAGGAATTGGTTACAACTCAAAGAACATAAAGGTATCAGGAGGCATGAAATTCATTTCGGGTTTATATGCATTTCTATTTCCACCAATTTTCCTTAATTGTATCTCAATTATGTAACAGAACTGTCAAATCTGCTCAGGACATTATCTTCATCTGATCTTGATGAGGTTGAAGATGCAGCTGACTTTGTGAGCTTCTATCCAGACTTAGTGTGGACTTTGAGAGATTTCTACCTATCCTTACAAGCAGATGGGCAGCTCATCACAGCAGATGACTACCTGGAGAACTCACTGAGGCCGAAGCAAGGTAACAGAGGATCCAGTTTTGGAAAGAAAGAGAAAAGTAACACAAGAAATTATCTCTTGTGCGTAAGTGATTACATTTTTAGTTTCCTATATTTACTCACATGGCTAAACTACCAAATAAATAACTAATACTATTAATTTAAAGTGAACTAGTAGATTCAATATTAAATTGTATTAGTCCCTGTTCTTGGAGCAAAATAGTTTTCTTTTTTCCTTTCTCTAATTGGTTACCTTTTAACTTTTTGTTTAGAGTTGGTGGAGATGTATTGAAATAAATAACGTCAGATGGAAGACAAATTTATTCATGGGAAGTACAATAAAATGAATGCTAATTGTATATTAAATAAATCTTATTTTTCCTCCCCCAGACACTGATCAAAATCTTCAAAACTTCAACTTGCCTCGTCTTTGCATTCAGAAATTCTTTCCAATAAAGAAATGCTTTGTCTTTGACTTACCCACTCACCAGAAGAAGCTTACCCAGCTTGAGACACTGAATAATGATGAACTGTATCCTGATTTTGTGCGACAAGTAACAGATTTCTGTTACTACATCTTTCACTATTCTAAGACTAAAACTCTTTCAGGAGGCATCGAGGTCAATGGACCTTGTGAGTATGTTTTTTTAAGGATTTTCCTGCAATTCAACATAAAGAATGGGGGCACTGTTTTAAGTTTTTCGTCCACTGTCAATGTTGAAACTGCATAGAAAATTACATGAATCACATTTTTTAACTTCTAATGGGTACCAAAAACATTTCTAGTGATTTTTCAGTAATGCTTCTAACATAGGATAAAATAGAAATATAATCTGAAGAAAAAGTCAAGTTAAACTTAGAGTGGTCCACTGTCAGACTAGACTAACCCACATGAGTCGGCAACATTTGTCCCACCAATATAGTGGATATTTATTATGTGTCACAGCCTTTGATAGGCACAAGATGAGAAAGACATATACATTCTCCATAAAAATAGAACTTACTTGATACAAACATTAAGTAGAGCCCCAAGTTGTCTAGAACCCTAAAGGAAATCTAAGCAGATATCTTGGTCCAGTTTTTCCCAAAGACTATGTCTCAGAACTCTATAAATTATTGTCGTACTCTAGAGGGAAGCTGAGAACAAACAAAAGTATGCAAAGGACAAAGAAGACAAATAGAAAAGTTCCAACAAAGAGTTAAGCAACCTGGTCTAAGTTTCTCACTTTATGTTTTTTCAACTAACACTCATATCAGGTTTGCATACTGAAATGGAAGAGAAAGGGGAATTCTAAAGGGAATTGAAACATGAGGA